TTATATCAAAGAAGACATTTGGCATTTGTTTTTTAGGGATTGGCTGGCTTCACTTAGCATAGTCTGCTCTAATGCCATCCATTTCCCTGAAAATTCTATGATTTTGTCATTTTTTAATGCAGAGTAATACTCCATTGTGTATAAATAAGAAGGCAGATACTCTTATTACTGAGCTACATCACCAGCCCTTTTTATTTTCTGAGACTTGCTAAGTTGCCAAGCATAGCCTTGAACTTGTGATCATTCTGCCTCAGCCTCTCAGGTGGCTAAAAATTATAGACAGGCAGCATTGTGCTTGATTGTTTTATTTACTTTTCTGTCTAATTAAACTTAAGACTGAATAAGGGAATGTAATCAGAGATGCTTTGATATTCTTACTAGAATGCCCCCAGTACATGCTACAGAGAGCAGCATACTTGTTCAGTCATTTCAAGCAATAACTTTTCATCTTTTCACTTTGTACTAGTAGTAAAACTTGCAACTAAAATTCTCTATGTGCATTTTGAAGGGAATTGGCAAAGGGAAGAGCAGCAGATAGAAATAAAGCAACTCTGGTAGATATTTAATGATAAAACATTTAAAATAGAGATGCAAATTATGTAGTTTGACTTATTCTCAATTCTTATGTTATTTATTTTCTTTTTAAATAAAGAACTGTTCCAGAGGAAGAAAGAGAAGCTAAATTCTATCGAGTTGTAACTTGTTCTTTATTGGCATTAAAGAAATTGCTTTGCCTGTTACCTGATAATGAGCTTGATTCTCTGGAGGAAAAATTTAAGTCTCTTTTATCACAGAATAAATTTTGGAAATATGGAAAACACAATGTACCACAGGTATCTTTAAGTTTATTTTTTTTAAATTTCAAGACATTTCTTATTAAATGATTATGCTTATATTTTATGTTTATTGTTTATATTTAAAATTCTGCAAGCACATCCTTGTGTGGGTCATTTAGGTCTGAAGTACTTCTCTTTTAGAATGGTGTTCTTTTTTTTTTTCGCTCTTTTGTGTGTGTGTGTATGTGTGTGTGTGTGCGCGCGCACACATGTCTGGGGATTGAATCCAGGGATCTCTTGCCTGCTGAGCACCTGCTTTACAACCAAGCTCCACCTTAACTGTCTATTTTCACGTCTTTAATTTAGTTTGAGCCTCAGGTTCAACCTTGAGTTATCATTTCTTTGTTCATGATTCATTAAAATTGTTCATGTGTGTAGCACTCTTCTCATTTAATATATCATCTTTTCTCTTTGGTCCCTATCTCTCTCCCCTTTTCCATCTCCACTGGCTGATCCTTCTGACGTTTTTAATGTATGTATTTTGTTTGTATAGTCCATTCTCATTATTCATAGTAGTTTATATTCTGTGACAGTATAACTACTGAATTAGTGAATACTAAAGCTTTGCTTCTAAGGAAAATACAAAGTTAGGTTTCTATGAGCCTCTGGTTGCATTTTTTTTTTAAACTGATCAATATAGCCTTTTCTTATGGGTTTCTAGTTAAAACACTGTGTGTATCTGATTAATTAACAGTAAACTCACAAATGGCAGCACTGAACTCATGCCTGAATGAAGCTTATCTGTTATATTTTCTCTGTAAGGCACATCACTGTTTTCTTGCCCTTAGACACAGTAGTCAGCACTTTAGCACTGTACTTGGAGGCCATTTAAAATGTGAAAATCATCAACCAAAAGCACAGAATTTTAAAAGATATGGTAAAGCCTAAAAAGAATACTTTCTATAGTTTAAGAACTAAAATAAGAAGGCAGAACATCACTTTGTTTTGACCACAGCTGGGAAAGTACATTTTGCTATTTAGATCCTTTGCATCTAAGAATGCTTTAGTATTCTTTACAGTGAATATGTCTTTGTGGCTTTTATTGTTATTATGAAATGGGCTTTTTTATTTCATTTTCTACTTTGTTTCTACTGTTATATAGGGAGGCTGTGCTTTTATATGTTAATTTTGTATCCAGTTAACTCTTTCACTCTTCTAGATTCCAGTTCTCAAAATTATTTGTGTAGATTTTATTGAATGTTTTCCCTATCTTGTTATATTGCTGCAATTATAGTTATTTGGGTTCTTTTTCAAGTCTTTTTTTCCCTCTTATTTATTTGTATTGACTTATTTGTATTGACTTATTTGTATTGTTTATTTGTCTTCTTACCATGTTAAGAAGTGGTTAAGATAGCATATTTTTCATGTTTCCAACTTCAGTGGAAATAGTTCTAGACTTTCAATGTTAAGTATGGTGTTTCCTCTAGATTTTATAAGGTTTGAGAATTTCCTTTTTTTTTCTTTTTTGTTATTTTGGATTGAACCCAGGGGCACCTAACCACTGAGCCACATCCCTTACTCTTTATTTTTTGAGAAGAGGCATAACTAAGTTGCTTAAGGCCACATTAAGTTGCTGAGGCTGACCTCAAACTTGCAATCAGGCATGGACATTCCACTTGGCTTATTTTTTGTTCATTTGGCTGTTTTATAGGCTCCAAATGAGGGTTCTGCTAAGAAAAAGGAATTGTGTTTACTTTAATCATTGAAAATGTTAAATTAAATCTTTCTGTCTTTACTTTGCTCTGATAATTCCTGATGTCTTTTTAGCCATTTGATATTCTTAAGTAGATTTTAAAAAGTATTTTTATAGCTACTTAGTTTTATCAGTGGCAGGGTTTATGTGAATATTCTTATCTGCTACTATCATAAATAAATCTTATCAAACTTTACTAGGTTTTAATTTAATTCACCTTTCTATGGCTTCTTTTAGATCCGCTCAGCATATTTTGAGTTAGTGTCTGCTTTGTGCCAACGCATTCCACATTTAATGAAAGATGAAGCTTCCAAAGTGAGCCCATCTGTTCTACTTAGCATTGATGACAGTGACCCAGTTGTTTGTCCAGCACTCTGGGAGGCTGTACTCTATACACTTACAACTGTTGAGGTATGTAAGAGAGGCACATTTATGCATTGGGGGAACACTTTTCTTTCGAGTTGTATTTTAGAAACCTTAGATACAATATGAGAGAGATACCATCAGATAATAATATCTAAGACTTACTGGAAAAATGCCTCTTGGAAATAAATACTTAATCTAAACTTAGTACAAATATTCAAGTGACTATAAAAATGGTGTAGAGATTTTTATTTTACTTTGTGTTTGGCCAATATTAATTATTTTTTGAATCTATGTTTTAGTATAGTCAGCATGCCTGAATCTTATATAAGATAAAATATAATTTGTCTCTTTAAGAGACCAACTTTTATGAAAATACTTTAAATTAAATAATTATTCCTGATTAATATTGTCCTGTAAGCATACGGAATATGTGATTTTATATGTAGTATATTTATAATTTTAGATTTTTGATTTAGTCTTTTTAGGTAAAATATTTGATTTTTATTTTTGAGAGTCTATATGTCTATGTCTCAATTGAAAAGTGTTTATGATCTCTCATTATTTTTATAATTTTTTCTTTGGTTAGGACTGTTGGCTTCATGTAAATGCAAAAAAAAGTGTGTTTCCAAAGTTGTCGACTGTGGTTCGTGATGGTGGTCGGGGCCTAGCTACAGTCATATATCCGTATCTTCTGCCATTTATCAGCAAATTGCCTCAGTCCATTACAGATCCAAAGTTGGATTTCTTCAAAAATTTCCTCACCTCTCTAGTAGCAGGGTAAAGAATTTAAATTCTATATTTTTAAAAGCAAAGGACATTTTCTTGTTTATATTCTTATTTGAATTTCTCCAAATTGTTTTGCTGTTCATTAAATACTGTTAAACTTTTTGGAAAAATACAATTAGAGGTATTATTTTTTACTGAAATGAGGGTTTCATTATGAGTAGTCCAGGCTGGGCTTGAACTCCTGAACTCAAGTGACCCTCCTGCCTCAGCCTCCTAAGTGGCTGGGATTAAATCACCTGAGAGTATTCTCAGCTCAGTGTTGTTCCTCCACACCCCACCCTACTACTAAACCAATGGTGTCATGCATGCTAGGCAGCCACTCTATCATTGAGCCATACCTCCAGCCCAGACTTCTTATTTGGGGTACTCTCAAGGCTTCTTATTAGTACCTAGCAAAAAGCTAGGTAAATATGGTGAAATTCCTAGAAGAAATAGTCCATTTTTCAAATGTTACATTATTCTAATATTGATAACAAATGCCTTAATGCAGAAAATGAACCAGTTTTTCACTTATAAATTTTATAGTTGTTTATTAATACTTGAAAAATCTTTTCACTTAGTAAAAGATATACAGTATGGTTCAAATTTCTATTTCTTCTTATGTTCTTATTCATGAAAGAGTAATCTATAGCTATTTATTATTTCTTAGGCTGGCAACAGAGAGAATTAGAACCAGCTTTTCAGAGTGCTCAGCAGTAGTGTCTGCTTTTTTTGAATGCTTACGTTTTATAATGCAACAAAACTTAGGCGAGGAAGAGATTGAACAGATGCTCATCAATGATCAGGTACTTAACATGAAAATCAACAATGCTTTGTACAAATATAATAAAGACATAAGCTCATTGTTTCTTGTTGCCATTTTCAGTAGTTAGCCTTCCATATATAGATTTTATTTAAATAATGTGTATGTTCGACCAAGTAAGTAAAAATTCTATTTTGTTAGTTTCTAGTGTAATATAATATCTAATGACTATACATTAGGCTGATTAAATACACCAAATTCTGGATTTAAAATCCTGTTTGAGATATATACAGTGCAAAATTTTCTGAATTTGAAAGATGCTGTTTGTTATCTTTTGTATTAAGTTTAAATTGTATAATATCATCTTGTTACTTTTATTTTTTTATTTTTATTTATTTATTTTTTTTTAAAGAGAGAGTGAGAGAGGAGAGAGAGAATTTTAATATTTATTTTTTAGTTCTCGGCGGACACAACATCTTTGTTGGTATGTGGTGCTGAGGATCGAACCCGGGCCGCACGCATGCCAGGCGAGCGCGCTACCGCTTGAGCCACATCCCAGCCCCATCTTGTTACTTTTAAAATACTCAAATACATTTATACTTTTGTGAATCAGTTGGGCTTGGCTTTTAAATCTAGTGATGAAAGCAGGTTCCACAGTATGGTCCCTATAATAAGAAATTAATGAAATTACAGAAGACTAGATCTTAGTTGTTATTGTCTCAGATAGGTAACTTCTCTTACCTTTGAAATTTATTAAGAAGAAGTTATGAATTCTTTAGGCCTCATCTTTTACTTGTAGTCTCATATCTAGATGTTCCTGTAAAAGAAAGAAAACCAAAAATTACCTGAAAAAGTCATGAAGATGCAAAGAAAACTGGATTATAAATCATGGTTAATCAGCACAAAAATAAATAATTTCAGGTGAAATATGGTAGAATCATTAAGCTTTTTGTATGATAGATCTTTTTTGTATGATATAAAATGATCTTTTTTTTCGCAGTTCTGAGGAAAAATTGTTTTTTGGTTATTAAATATGAAATTTTATAGTTTTATAAATTTGTTTAAAATTTATTTTTCTTGAAAACTGAATGTTTATATATTTTACTTTCTCTTTCAGTTGATCCCTTTTATTGATACAGTTCTCAAAGATCCAGGATTGCAACATGGTCAATTATTTAACCATTTAGCAGAAACTTTAAGTTCCTGGGAAGCTAAAGCAGACATAGAAAAAGATGATAAAATGGTGCAAAACTTGGAGAATGTACTGTTCAATTTCTGGGAAAAACTATCAGAGATCTGTGTCGAGAAAATCAATGAGCCAGAGGCTGATGTTAAATCTGTTTTGGGTGTATCTAACCTGTTAGAGGTCCTTCAGAAGCCAAAGAGCTCCTTGAAATCAAATAAAAAAAAAAATGGTAAGGTTAGATTTGCTGATCAGACATCTGAAGGTAATAAAGAGATTGAAAAATATGTATCTTCAGAAGGAGAGAACAGTGAAGCCTCTGAATTACCAACTGAATCTGAATCTTTTCTCACTAATAATTCTTCAGACATTATGTCTCCTCTAAGGAAAAAACCTTTGGAAGACTTGGTCTGTAAACTTGCAGAGATGAGTATTAATTATGTTAATGAACAAAAGTCAGAGCAACATTTAAGGTTTCTGTCTACTCTTCTTGACTCCTTCTCTTCAAGCCAAGTATTTAAAATGCTCCTTGGTGATGAAAAAGAGAGTATTGTCAAAGGCAAACCTCTTGAAATAACCAAACTTGCACAAAAAAATCCTGCAGTGCAATTTTTATATCATAAACTAATAGGTTGGCTAAATGAAGATCAAAGGAAAGATGCTGGTTTCCTGGTGGACATTTTGTATAGTGCCCTCTGTTGCTGTGAAAGTGACGTAGAAAGAAAAGATGTCTTGGATGATCTAACCAAGGTATTACTTTTGTATATCTTTCTAAGTTATTGTAATATTAATGAGAGTAAGAAGTTTTCTTGGGATTGTTTTTGCTTTATTTCTTGCCTATGAATGTCAATGTAAAAACAAGCAATATGGGCTGGGGATATAGCTCAGTTGGTAGAGTGCTTGCCTCTCATGCACAAAGCCCTGGATTCAATCTCCAGCACCTCATACCCACCCCAAAACAAAAGAAAATAAAATAACCCTATGTATTTTTGATTGAGAAGTATCTGAGGCTTCTGGGCAGGTTCAGCAAAACAAAATGACAAAAAGTTAGGAATGAAAGGGTGAGTTCTTTCAGTCCATAATTTTTAAAATTGGACGAAAATGTTTTAGTTTTGGATTGGTTACACGGAGATTTCAGTACTTTTAAAAGTTTTGCTGTTCATTTTAGCATATTGTTTCTAACTCCTTTTCTTCTTTCAGGAGGACCTGGAATGGAATTCTCTTCATCAGGTTATTCAAAAGGTATCTTAGGCTTTTTTCTTTCTTTTTTGTATTTGTAGGTATAGAAAAGTCAAAGCCACAGTTATATTCACACACTGAATATGGCCAGGTAATCGGGTACCTGTATTAGACAACTTCCTTACTATTTTAACTTCCTTACCTTAATTTGAGAAGACATTTAGTTTTGCCTTTTTGTACAGTTATTCTTGTGGTTAGGCATATCAGGAAAAAAACAAACAATTTCTGGGAAAGCCAGTGTTTCTTTCCTAACAAGCAATGCAGGGAGAATTAAACATTTTATTATCTTTTAATTAAGTATGCAAGTTGCTACTCTTATCCTAGGTACTTTATCTTTTGTAGAAGTGAATTGAGTGGTTGTAGCTTTGCTAGAACAGTTCAGAAAATTAAATTTTCCCTACTCTGGAATACTGTGAAGGCAAATTAAAATATTCCAGCTTTTGTGTGACATGTAACTTGACTTAATAGGAATATTAATGGTGAAAATAAAGAACACACAACTTAGAATTTTAAAAAATGGCTTAAGTATTCCTTTCTAATGAAGATAGGTTATAGCATTTTTCCAACTAGAATGACTAGCCATCTAAAATTCTTCCTCCTTTTAAAGCATTTGTTGCTTTTTTGTTTTACAAGCTTTTTTTTTCTATTTTTAAAGTTAATATAAAATTTATCGTCCTTTCTTCCTTTCTTTCTTCCTTCCTTCCTTCCTGGGAAGGAAGGGAATTGACTCAGGGCCTTATGCATGCTAACATTGATTTATATATATCCTAACTCTGTTCCAACCATTTCTTAATACACGGTTCAGTGGTGATAAGTATATTCACATTGTTGTGCAACCAGTCCTTAGAACTTTTTTGTATTGTAAGACCCATACTTGGTGTATATTAAACAATAAGTTCCCATTTTCCCCAGTAGTTTACTTTTACAAAACATACAAAATTTTACATTTCTTATTATTCAATGAACGTATAACTTACCAGGCACACTATTAATTTACTCAGTGCCTCCTTTCCCATAGCCAAGCTACATGAAATGCCAAATTATCACATGGCTGCTTGATAAGCCTAGAATCTCAGCTGAGGGAGTCAATAATTAGAATGATGAGTACTGTTTTGGCAGTACTGGGTATTGGACCCAAGGCCTCAGGCTTGCTAGGTAAGCACTCTACCACTGAGCTACATCCTCAGCAGGGGTCAATAATTAGATAAACATAGACTGATAACTCCTACCAGGTAGTCCTAGTATTCAGACTTTTTTAGAAGAATATCTGCTTCCAGCATACTGTTTGGAAGTTCCTAGCTAGTATTTGCCTCCTGTGTTTCTATGACTCATTAGCCTTGCATCTCCTTACAGCTGCTTGGATTTTTACATTAAACATGTCAGTGCATAAGATGTTGAACTTTATGACTTGCTAACTTGAGAGACATTTTACTCACAAGTTTTTTTTTTTTTTTTCACTACAAGAATTCTATAGAATAGGTTGGATTTATTTGGTAAATTACTTTAGGAAAGCCAGTATTATAGCCATTTAAATGCTAAATATTTTTAAATGATTTATAGAACCTGTTTCTTTAGGTAGAGTTATAAAATCAGTTTATTTAAAAATGAACAAATAAAAAACAAAACTGAAATTTGGAATCATAAAAGGACCTTCGGGTTTATGCAGGTTAATCTTTCTAGTTTTCAAATTAGTAGAGAGGCCCAGATGGTTAAGAGATTTGTCCAAGGTCATAAGGCTAGTTTAATGGTAAAGCTTGGACTAAAATATAAGCTCTGATTACTTACAATTTTTAAATAAAAGGTTAAGCAGTTTATCAGGCATTACCCAATCCGCACTTGGATTTTTTTTTTCCAGATTGCTTTGAAATGAACCAAGTTGCAAATTCCTTTCTTCTCAGCCCATAAAGCAAAAGAAGCTCTGGGAACATGGATCAGCATGCTTTTGGGGGTGGATTTACAAGTTTTTTTCCTTACTTCTCCACCCAATGCAAATAAATAAGTTGCTGTCAGATACCTATCCCCAGTAATTCTGTTTCATAGAATTTGGGGAAATAAGTCCATTTATTCATATTGAAGTAATTTACCATTATTATACATTAATTGTTCTTTAATTTTAGCAAAATTAATGAACAAAATGTCATCTATAGAGCATTTATAAATCTATCTTCAAAGTTCATGCATTCATTATTCATTGAACATAACTGCAGTGTTGATAGCAGGTATCAAAGAAGTTTAAGACAGTCTCTGCTCTCAAGGAACTTACAATCTCATTGGAAAGACAAGACATACACAGATGAAACATTTAAGTAATAATACAATCCAGTAAGTGCTTTAGAAATTCAGAGAAAAGCAGTGATCTTTGTGGGCTAGAGTGGATGGGGGAAGATGTCATAAAGCAGGTGGGATTTAAACTGATTTTCAAAGAGTGGATGGGGTTTTGATAAAGAAGAGGGGTAATATTTATGGTTGGGAGGATAAACATTGTAACACATGGAAGTGTACATGAACCAGAGGTAGTGGGGAACAGGGTATATGCCAATCTTCCTTGAACACTAGGATGAGGAGGAGTGGGGGATAAAGTTAAGGCCATCATGATGAAGGGTGGTGATAATGGTACAGATAATAATTTAGAAATTTGTACTTTTTGATCTTGCTTCTAATCTTTGCTTTAATTTTATGGTTTTAGGCATGTTCTAGTTCAGATAAACATGCTTTAGTAACTTCTTGGCTAAAAGGCAATATCCTTGGAGAGAAACTGGTTGCCTTGGCAGATGGTCTTTGTAATAAGAAATTGGAACCCACCTTGTCTTCAGATTCTCACTTCTCGGAAGAATGGACTCTTCTAAGCTTGGTATTATCCCAACATGTTAAAAATGGTAGGGAAAATATGTTTTTTGTACTCTAGCAGGAGATAATAATTCTTTTCACCTTTTGAGGGGATTCCTTGCTCAGATTGCAAATTATTGATTCAGATTAATGAGACTTATTCAAATATCTTGATTTTTTTTAAGTACACTAAATGTTTATTCATCTTCATAGTGTGACTCCAAAGGTATTTAGTATTTTCTATTCAAAATGTTTTGGATATGGCAAAGCTACTCTTAATTTTGTAAACTATTACAATTTTTTTAACTTAATTTAAAACTGCTTTGTCTTTGGACTTTTATGTGTCAGGACAGATTGATTTGTTAATGTAATCTTTTATGTAATACATGAGCACCTTAAAAGACCCACATAAAGGGCTGGGGTTGTGGCTCAGTTTTAGAGCACTTGCTTAGCATGTATGAGGCACTGGGTTTAATTCTCAGCACCACATAAAAAATAAACAAAATAAAGGATTGTGTCCATCTATAACTAATAAAAATATTTTTTAAAAATCCACATAAAAAAGCTAATTCAAGGTAAGATATTTTAAAATACACTTGTTAATATTTTTTATTTTTTGTTTGGACTTTTTTTTTTCTAGATTACTTGATTGGAGAAGTATATGTTGGAAGAATTATTGATAAACTTCATGAAACTCTATACAAAACAAAGACATTGTCAGAAGCTGAAAATAGTGATTCATCAGTGTCTTTTATCTGTGATGTGGCGTATAACTATTTCAGCTCAGCAAAAGGATGCTTGCTAATGCCATCATCTGAAGATTTATTATTAACTCTCTTTCAGTTATGTGCTCAGAGCAAAGAAAAAACACATTTGCCAGGTAATAGCCTACTGCTCAAATATTTTGTTGGGAATCTCCGGCTCTGACCTTCATAGTGAGTGTAAGTGCCCAGGCTTTATTAATTGAATCATAACGTGTTTGAAAGTTTAAAGCATTATAAGTAAATATCTACAATCTTGTTTAAATCAGTTTTAGAAACCAAATTAAAGATGTATTAGGTATTACTTGATCAAAGAAATAGTTTTGGAAGGGGGTATAATAGATAATAGAATCTTAGCCTCTCTACTTAGTAGCTCTGGCAATTTGCTTAATTTCTTGATGCCTCAGTTTCCTCATTCATAAGAAGAGGGAAATACTATTTCTTTGTTATTGTAAGAAACATTCTGTCTTGGTGCATATCAAAATGAAGTTGAGATTATGTGAGGTCATTGCAAAACTTATTCTTGCCCTATGTGTCAACTCCCATTTATTTATCAAAGGGATATAAAAAATGATATGATAGAGAACCCTTCTTTCCCAGCCCTTTCTTTAATACTAACTTGTCTGTTTGGAAATAGTGATCTCCTTATTGTATCTCCAAAAGGAAAACTTCTTTAGTAAAAAAGTTCAGAGCAGTAAATGACTTAACTTATAAAATCTTACTACTTTACATTTATATGATACAGGCTAGCTTGTAGTGTTGCATGTGTACAGCACAGTTGATTTTTAGCAATTGAATTTTTATTTTATTTTTAAAATGATATCTTAAATATCACAGATCTGCAATGAGTTCTTTAAGACATTTTGTATTGATGAGATTTAATTCAGTGAGATTATAAATTCCTATTAACATCTTAATTTTAGATTTTCTAATCTGTAAACTGAAAAATACTTGGCTCTCTGGTGTAAATTTGTTGGTTCATCAAACTGGCAGTACACATAAACAGAGTACCTTCCTACATTCGTCTGCTCTGTGGCTGAAGACACAAGCTCAGTCTTCATCTTTGGATAACACAAGGTAAATTTTTTGTAGACAATTGCACAGTGTCTCTTTTATACTAAGCCATTGTCCTTGAATAAGATTTCATGATTAGTGTGAGTGCCTATGAAAAATAACTTATAGGACTCTAAGAGATGATGCAAATATACATATTTTTTCCAAAACAATTTTTTAAAATGATCTTCCATTAAACTTTCAATTAATTGAAGAATGATTTGTTTTATCTGCTGGACTGCTAATTTGTGGTCAGTGATATGGTGGTACTACTATCCTGTGTTGAAGGCTGGTGTAGATTTTTTAAGTGTAATCTCTCATGACATGTGTATTCATTGTTCTTGGTTGTTTTATTGAATTACAAATATATTTCACATATCATACCTAAATACATATAATAAGAATGGAAACAGTGCCTATAGAGATTTTTGGGGTTGGATCAAAGAATTGTGTTCTTTTCATGAAATAAGTTAGTTGTATTTCAGAAATATCGGATCTGAAATTGATCTAGTCCCCTTCATTATGAAATAGAAGCAGCTCTCTATTTTGTTTGACTGTATGTCTACAGGGAAGAGGGCGTCATTTACTGCTACTTCTATTTTTGTCTTTTTTCTTTCATTATCTATTAGGGTATTAAAGCTGGTCATAATTACAACAGTTAAATTCTTTACATTATTTTCAGTCTGCAGGTCCTCTTGTCTGCTGTTGATGATTTGTTAAATACACTTCTAGAGAGTGAAGGTACTTATCTTTTGGGAGTTTATATTGGAAGTGTAATGCCAAACAACAGTGAGTGGGAAGAGATGAGACAGTCTCTTCCTATTCAGGTATGTTTGAGATTGGAGAGTGCATATCACATTCTAAAGTTTGGATTTCATACAGACTTGAATATTTTATTTTCTGGGGAAAGAAAAAAAAATGAGTATCTTGTTTTGCCTTTGACATTGTCAGAGCTGGGTGTGAAGGTGAATGAGGCTTGGTTTTGTCCTTAGAAATCTTGAAGAAATATACATGTTGATAATTTCCTGTAATAAAAACCAAACTTCCATGTTTTTGAGGTTTTACTAATAAACTATCCATTCTAATAACCTCAGCTGTTTCCTGCATGAATTACATAGATAGTAAATTATTTAGAATGTTAATGATTTTTGTATATAATTGTATCTATTTTTTTTTCACAGTGGTTATACAGACCGCTTTTAGAGGGAAGACTGAGTTTAAATTATGAGTGTTTTAAAACAGATTTTAAGGAACAAGATACAAAAACACTTCCCAGCCATTTGTGTACTTCAGCATTATTAAGCAAGATGATCTTTGTTGCACTAAAGAAGAAAATAGTCCTAGAAAATAATGTGCTTGAGAAAATAAGTAAGTAATATGAGAATTTAGATATAATGCACAAATAAATATAATTTTAAAATAATATTTACATAGTAACTTAAATATTTAAGAATCTTTAGCTTTCTATTAATTATTTTAGTGATAGGAAGCTTACAGTTACTTAAGTGATGTTAAATTGCAAATTGGATTCATATATACTGAAATCTTGCTATAATTTGTTAGCTGTACAGCATAATTTGGTATAAAATCAGTTATCAAGTTGGTATGACATAGGGAGAAGGAGATCCTGGGGCACATGCCCTAAGGAGAGTGGTTGTGAAACTTTGGTATGTTTTTATCAAACATTCTGAATTTTCCCTTGATTTTTGAACTTCTGTATTTTTTTTTTTTTTTTTTTTTGCACCGAGTACTTGAACTAGGGGCATTTAACCACTGTGCTATACCACAGCCCTTTTAATTTTTTTTTATTTGGGATAGGGTAGTATTTCATTAAGTTGTTGAGGTTGGCCTCAAACTAGTGATATTCCTGCTTCAGCTTCCCAAGCAGCTGGGATTATAGGTGTGTGCCACAGCACCCAGCTGAACCTCTCTATATCTTTAAATTTGACCCCTAATTATTTTTCTGACAAGTGGAGGTTGAAATGTTGAATTTCAAGAGGACTTAGAACCTCAGGAAATTTCTCCATTCGGAGACCTGCATTAGATGGAAGATAGCCTGCTTTCTCCTTAAGACTGTATTCTTTGCTTACCCCAAGGGCATCTCTCTTTTGAGATTACTCCCTGACTTTGTTCTCCCTTGAATGTCTATCTTTTTTCCTAAATAAACCTGTCTGTGTGTTTTGGCGGGGAGAGGAAGAACAACAACTGTGATTAATGGTGTGGCTTACATAGATGGTACTAAAGGTAGAGGATTTGCACTGTGTCAGTCTTCTTGTAATCTCTCAGCTCTAACATAGTTACTAATAGAAGAGAATATATCCTCTGTGGAAGTTAGCCAGCTGCACATTTCGTTGAGGACAGGGGGAGGCAAATCCACAGTTTACAGTTTTGCTCAGAATTAATCTGTCCAAACAAAAGTGGAAATTAGAGGAATAATTCATTTTTATTAATTGTGCTGCTAATTCTTTTTTTAAAATTTTTTTTTTAGTTGTTGCTGGACCTTTATTTTTATTTATGAGGTGTTAAGAATCAAACCCAGGGCTGGGGATGTGGCTAAAGCGGTAACGTGCTTGCCTGACATGCCCAAGGCGCTGGGTTCGATCCTCATCACCACATACAAATAAAGATGTTGTGTCCACTGAAAACTAAAAAATAAATATTAAATTCTCTCTCTCTCTCTCTCTCTCTCTCTCTCTTAAAAAAAAAAAAAAAGAGAATCAAACCCAATACCTCACACATGCAAGGCAAGTGCTGTACCACTGAGCCACAACTGCAGCCCCATGCTACTAATTCTTATCAACCCTATCACTTGATCTCTAAAATTTTTGTTATTTTTATTTTTTATTTTTTTAATTTTTTAAGTCATACATGACAGCAGAATGTATTTTGATATATAATACATACATGGAATGTACATACATATTTTGACTTGATAAGAGTTAACATAGCTTGTGAAGGTCTTTTCTGAACTAGGTCTCAAGGCTTCTGACTCCACAATCTGTATGTGGTTTTAGAAAAGGGAGCTGTGATTTTTATGTATTATAAACCTATGAATGCCAGGTTTTGTGATAGACACTTGATCATTTAATTCTCACAACAGTCCTGTAAGATAAGTTGTAGTGTCCTCAGGGTTAACTATGTATATACAGTTGAGGCGGACATAGAATTGAATCCAGACCAGACTACTCTGTTACTTGGGCTCATTGGTGGTGTTTTTTTAACCCCCTTCCCCTGTCATATTTTTAACCAAGTTTCCTAATCTCAATCTTCTCTCAAGCCTCTTGCGTGGCTCAGACTAGGGCACAGGCTGCCCCATACCTGGCAAGGGTGATACTTTGTCAGACAACTCTTCTCAGTTTTCATTATCCTTGTACATCTCAAATCAGATTTGAAACTCATTTTATAGATGTTTTGAGGTAAGTGGGCATAGCAGTGTTAGAAAATGAGGCATCGAAGTGAAAATGATTGAAGAGTTTAGTCACATGTACACTTGATAATTTAGTCCTGTCCATTCTGTTAGTTGCAGAACTGCTCTATTCACTTCAGTGGTGTGAAGAGCTAGACAATCCACCTATTTTTGTGACTGGATTTTGTAAAATGCTTCAAAAAATGGACATTACATTTGATAACTTTCGTGTGCTTGGTAATATTGCTGGCCTTCTACAGCTTCTGTTTAATAGGTAAGAATCCTTTTCAATTTCTGTTTTTTAAATGACCGTTTTAGTTGTGTATGATTTTGTCTTCTCTAAGGGATAAGCCCACTTCATGCTAATGTTTTGGAGGTTTGATTGAAATAATCCATATTCATGGTAAATACTTAATGGATATTATTGAATATTTTGGGGGGGGATATTTGGTCTTGGCTTGTATATTCAGGGAGCAGATGTTGATGAAAGAAATAGAGCCCTATAGAAAATTTTAATTTGTTATGTGTGATCAGTCCTGCCTCTACTTTCAGATTCAATCTTTATTACATGTTCTAGGTATGTTTTAATGTTGCAACCACAGCATGAAGTTATGGAAAGTACATAATGAAAACAGTCATTGTGGATCTTATGGTAGTTAGGTATTTGATTTTTTGAAAAGACTTTTTGTTTAAGAGGTTATCAGTTGTCTATAATAGTTTGAGCATGTTTTATAGTGGCAGAGGACCTCGCTTCTTCTCCAACCCCAATCCACAAATTTGACACTCACAACTTTCCTCAGTGGGTATTAGTGCTTGTTGGGTTTTCACCCTAATCCAGACTAGCTATCCTCTGGGAGATATCCTTTTCTCAGCTATAGTGTCTGGTTTTCAAGCTCATCACCTTTGTTGTGATTTGAGGGACTTCGGAATTGACTTGGAATGAGAGCTCAGTCTCAGTTGTGGAAGGAGAATTAAAAGCCTAAATTCCCAGTCCTTTGGGTAATTATGATACTTGCTTGGATGTGAAGTTTTGGGTGAATTGATGCCTTTACAAAGTGATTTATTTTAATTCTGTAAAAGTAGTCTAGATAGCCAATGTTTAAAACTCTTTAAGAATGCTTCCCAAATGCAATGTAATTTTTTTTCTTCCTTGTTTAGATCCAGGGAAAATGGCACACTCTGGTCTCTCATTATTGCTAAATTGATCCTTTCCCGAAGTATTTCATCTGATGAAGTAAAGCCACATTATAAAAGAAAAGAAAGGTATTCTTATTTAAAAGTTTTTATTTTGTAATTTGTTATAATTGCTTACCTGGCAATCTCCAATTGATGAATAATGTTTAATAAATCTGAAAAACAAGGTTTAGGAAATGAGGAAATTAAAGAATGAAAAGTAAAACTTTAAAGCAACTCATGTTCTATATTCCCCCCAAATCTTTTTCTGTTCCCAACACACTTCTTTCATCATTTTATTCACTATGTGAAAATGGTTTATTTCTCTTAAATAAAGATTATCCCATGAAATATGTTCTAGAAATGCAATAAATTTGTTACAAAAGTAGATTGTGGGGTTGGATATACTAGTGTAGCACTCAGCATTCACATTAATACTTCAACTTTATCATCAGCTGAGATTCACAAACATTTTGAATTGAGTGATTCACCAAGAAGAATTTTTTAATGATATGTATGTATTCTGGCATAGTAAAAGTCTGAACTAAATTTTGATTTTTATAGATCTTATCTAAAATTTGTTTTAGAACTTTTTATTTGGGATAAGTAGATGTGCTTACATTGTAAAAATAACTCAAAGAATAAAAATGACACAAAAAATAAGAAATTACATTGAGGGCTGGGGATGTGGCTCAAATGATAGCACACTTGCCCAGCATGCGAGAGGCACTGGCTTCAATTCTTGGCACCACATAAAAATAAAATAAAGATATTTTGTCCACCTAAAACTAAAAAATAAATATTAAAAAAAGAAATAATATTGATAGTATATTCATATATATGTATATATAATATATATATATCTGTATATATACATATTTATAATTATGTGTGTATGTTTGTACATTTTTATTTTTATTTTTTGCAGTGATAGAAATTGACCTAGGGCCTCATTCATACTAGGCAAGGGTACTGAATCATTGCGCTATACCCCAGACCGTTGGTATATTTTTTAAAAAGTCATACATAGGGGACAAATTATGTTCATCTAAAAAAATTAAGACTATATAGGAAAGAGGAGCAGTAAAACAAAACAAAACCAAACCAAGTAAAATTTCATCATCTAGAATCAGCAGTTGTCAGTCTCATCATAGTCAAGTATTTATATAGTGGAATTATTAGTTCTTTGGAATAGTTTGAATAAGAATTTTATGAAATAACTGTACACGTAGAATAAATGTGATTCATATTTCTTCTTTAAACAGTTTCTTTCCACTAACAGAAGGCAATTTGCATACCATTCAAAGTCTCTGTCCATTTTTGTCAAAAGAAGAAAAGAAAGAATTCAGTGCTCAATGTATACCTGCTCTTTTGGGTTGGACTAAGGAGGACCTTTGCAGTACTGATGGTTAGTTGCCTGACAATTAATATTTCAGTATCTTAATAATTACTTGAGATGAAAGAAGTATTTTTTTAATATGTAAAACTAAATGTAGCAAAGTAATAAATTGAATTACCGTTGTTTTGTTCCTATTTTTTTTTAAATTTTTATTGTTGGTTGTTCAAAACATTACATAGTTCTTGACATATCATATTTCACACTTTGATTCAAGTGGGTTATGAACTCCCATTTTTACCCCATATACAGTTTGCAGAATCACATCGGTTACACATCCACTGATTTACATATTGCCATACTAGTTCTGTTGTATTCTGCTGCCTTTCCTATCCTCTACTATCCCCCCTTCCCTCCCCTCCCCTCTTCTCTCTCTACCCCATCTACTGTAATTCATTTCTCCCCCTTGTTTTTTTTTTTTCTTTTTTGCCTTTCCCCTGTTTTGTTCCTATTTTATGCTTCTGTTATATAACAAATTGATAAGACATTAGGATGACGGTGCCTGAAGATTGGCTTTTATCATTTTGTAGTTAAGGAATACTGTGTCCTTAAGGAAAGAAGGTAAGTGTTAGGATGCATCAGAAGATGGATTTTGAAAATTGTAGGGATTCTAAAGATTCAGACTCTGTAAGAGCTGATCAGATTTAGAATACTTTTTGTTTTGTACTAGGTGCTATTATGGAGATAGGATCTCTGGCCTATATTAATATGCTCATTTGTTAACTCCTTCATATAAGCCTTTCTAAAGAGTTTTTGATTTGGGCACTTCTCAAGAAAGAGTTTAGCTTTTCAAAGTAGACTTTCTTTTTTAGAGTAGCAATATAATTCAAAAATTTTAAACTTTTCTTTTGATTTTTTTATTCTAGGAGGTTTTGGACATCTTGCCATTTTTAATTCTTGTCTGCAAACCAGAAGCATAGATGATGGAGAGCTGTTACATGGTATATTAAAAATTATAATATCTTGGAAGAAAGAACATGAAGATATTTTTCTTTTTAGTTGGTAGGTGATTTTATATTTTTTTCTTCCCATATATAAGGTGGACCTAGGTTATGTGTAGTTATAATTTTGTACAGTAATAGGATGGTAGATATTTAAGTCAGTTATTTACAAGTATATGATTTAAAACGAAGTATTTTCTAATTAAATATAATTCTTTAATATGGTTTGATTGTTTTGTTTTTATCTTCACTACAGTAATTTATCAGAAGCAAGTCCAGAGGTACTGGGTGTAAATATAGAAATAATCCGGTTCCTTTCCTTATTTCTGAAGTATTGCTCATCTCCTTTGGCACAGAGTGAATGGGACTTCATCATGTGTTCCATGTTGGCTTGGTTGGAGGTAAATTAACTTGATATATCTTTCCTTCTGTTTGGTCTTTGTGCTTACCTGTGTGTATCAGAACTATTTACTCATTGGTGGTACTGGGATTGAAACCAGGGGCACTATACCACTGAGCCATATCCCTAGCCCTTTTTATTTTTTATATGAGACAGAGTTTTGCTAAGTTGCTAATGCTGACTTTGAACTTGCTATCCTCCTGCCTCACTCTCCCGAGTAGCTGGGATTACAAATGTGTGCTACCATGCCTGGCTACTCATCACATTCTTTAGGTGATTTTAATTAGTTCTTTTTTGTAGATGTTATACTCACAAGGGTACTATTAGGCAGACTAGGAAAATGACTGATGATGACTATCGTCATAATTCAGTGATGAGATCCTTGAGCTGATATTAAAATGCATTTTAAGAGGATATTGGTATTCTTTTTATGACCCAAAGCAACCAGAGTTTGGTTGTGGCCTTCAGGATGGCAAGTCAGTCAGGACTAAATTGTTTTTTGAGTCTCTGCTTTACCTGATTATTAGCTGTGTGACTTGGGATTTTAAACTTGACCTATATGATTTCAGTTTCTTTATTGTAAAATAATTTAGTGTGCAACTTGTAACAGGGCTATTGAGGTGATTGGAAATGCACGTTTAATGTATTGTAACTGGGAAGTGGTAGATGTTAATATTTTCTTCCAGAGTTTATAAATAAAAAAGGGCATCTCAGAATAAGTTGTTGCTAGTATCTTACTTTGAAAAAAGTTGTTGTGATGTAACATACATAAACTTCTTCAGACTGTACACTTCAACTGCTTTTTATTTTATAATACAGAGAAGTATAAGAAGAATTTCCCTTTATTTGTTCATAGTATTCTGGTAGAAGTCGGCTTACTGATTTCATTTCTGTTGTTTCTTCAGACAACAAATGAGAATCAGGCATTGTGTTCTGTTCCACTCATACAACTGTTTGCCTGTGTCAGCTGTGATTTGGCCTGTGATCTCAGTGCTTTTTTTGATTCAACAACTCTGGATACCATTGGCAATCTTCCTGTAAATCTAATCAGTGAATGGAAAGAATTTTTTTCCCAAGGCATCCACAGTTTGCTTTTGCCTCTTTTGGTGACTGCTACAGGCAAGTAAAAAAGGAAATAATAATGAGAATGATAGATTAAAACAACAGCTTTAGATGTTTGAATTGAATAGTACTATACAGTAAAAGAAAAGAGAAGAAAAAGCTTGTATATGATGCTGTATTGCAGTATGGACACAAATAGAAAAATGGCCAGTGTATCCAAAGACCATTATACATGAAAATAATAGTAATTCGGGTAATGTGAGTAGAACATCTTTATTGAATATTTGCTTGCTTTCTTAAAGAATGTAGTAAAAGTCATTAAAACAGTTGATTAACTGAAATAAGTATTCACTTCTTATTTCTAGTTAGGAATTCTGTAATGTCTATGTCTAATTTTCATTTTCTTAAATGATGTTGATCATGAATCAATCAATTCTCTCTTGGTATGTGTGTGTGTGTGTTTAATTTGTTTTCTCAGGAGAAGACAAAGATCTGTCTGAAACATCCTTTAAGAATGCAATGCTGAAGCCCATGTGTGAAACATTAACATACATCTCGAAGGATCAGCTGTTGAGTCAGAAACTTCCTGTAAAATTGGTTGCTGGCCAAAAAACAAATTTGCCAGAACATCTCCAGACTTTGTTAAATACATTGGCCCCATTACTCCTCTTCAGAGCTAGGCCTGTGCAAATTGCTGTTTATCATATGCTCTTCAAGTAAGCAATTAAGTGAATATTACCATGGTCTAACAAATAGAATATATACATTTTTTACTTTTAATCATTGAAAAAAAGCCAAATTAAAAATAAAAAGGAGACCTGACTATTTCAGGAACAGGAATGCCAACTTGTTTTTTTGATCTTTTTGGTCATTTTTTTTCTTACCCAATTTATGTTGAAATAGTTCTGGCCATAGATAGTTATTTTATAAAGAACTCATTAAAAGGTATCTTCATTATAAGCCATGCATGGTGGTGCATGCCTGTAATTCCAGCAATTTGGGAAGCTGAGTCAGGAGGATTGCAAGTGTGAGGCCAGCCTTGGAATCTTAGCAAGACCCTGTCTCAAAATAAAAAGTAAAAATGGCTGGGGATAAGGCCCAGTGGTTAAGCATTGCTGGGCTTAATCCCTGGTACCCAAAACAACACAAAAGGTTTCCTCATTCAAAATAAGTATTAGTCTTTGTGATCTGAAATATGGTATAATAATTGATAATCTAATTTAAAATATTTAAAATAATCTATTTCCAGATTAATGCCTGAATTACCACAGTACGATCAGGATAATCTAAAGTCATATGGAGATGAAGAAGAAGAACCAGCCTTGTGAGTGGCTTTTTGTTTTATTTTGTCCTTTTTTGTTGTTGTTTGTTTGCTTTTATAACTTGGTTTATTAGGTTGTCATAATCTACCTTATGTCTTTTTAAGACTAAACAACACAGAAACTCTCAATTTAGAGTACATATTCATTCTGTGGATAGACTATTTTAAAGTTATCTTGAAATGTAAAATTTACCCAAAAGTGTTTTCTCTTTTAATTGTTTCTAAATCACATTTTGGCTTGCCTATTATTCTGTAAAACTTTGTTTGGCCACATAGTAGCTGTGGAAAAGGGTATGAGTTCAATATCTATTGAGCTCCCACTTTGTGAAAAGTATTTAAAATGCTGTGGAAAGAATACAATAATGAAATATTGATGGTACTATCTTGTAATAAAAGGTATAGTGTATGATAAGTGCTAAGAAAAAGGAAGGATAGCATATTATGGGTACATAGTTATTGTACACCAGGAAGATAAGCCTTTCTCTTAAGGAAGAGACGTTTAAACTGGACCTTTAAAGTTGGTTAACATGTATAACTAATTAGAACAAATTTTAAAAAATTAAAAAATAAAGTTGTTTAACATTTCAACAGGACAAAAAATAGAATATAGGTTAAGAAAATGTCATGTGCAAAGCCACTGAGGCATGAATGTTCTGGATGCCCTTGGGGAATGTTGCCACTTAACATTTTTTTACTGTCAATATCTTCTTTCGCTAAAGTGTAAGCCCTGTGAGGGCAGGAATTTTTGTCTTATTCTTTACTATATCCACAGCATTCAGAATGGTTCTACTGTCACTTGTTGAATGAAAAAAAAATAAGCCACTAGATACAGAGTAGGCAGAATCTGGTGGAAGATTAAGCTAGAAGAGTAGTCAAGGGATCAGGATAAGTGAATAGATGATGTCCTTAAAAATGGCTCTGTGTGTGTCTGTGTAACTGGGGATCGAACCCAGGGTGCTCTGCCACCAAGGTACATCCACATCTGTTTATTTTTTATTTTGAGATAAAAGTCTCACTGTGAGACTGGCTTTGAACTTGTGATCTTTCTGCCTTAGCCTCCCAAGTAGCTGGGATTAGAGGTGTGTGCCACCACATGTGGCAAAAATGGCATTCTAAATTAAGATTTGAGACTTTATTTGGTAGGAGTTGAGATACAACCAGCTGATTCTAGCAATAGTGTGAGGCATGAATTATACTTAAGAAGCAAACAGAGGAGGAGGCCATTACAGAAGTTAACAGCAGCATGTAGAGGGCATTGTGAGAAGTAAAAAGATTTCAGACCTGGTATTTGTAAGGTGTGGCGACTACTGTTAAGGAATAGAGAAGTCCTGGTACTTGAAGATACAGATGTTGAAGATATAAAGGCAGAAAAGCCTGAATTTGTGGTCTGAAAGAAGGAAGTCACAGAGAAGAAAGATCACAGAGGCAAAAGGAGAAAATTGAGGGTGGGGCACATGATTATAAAACAGTTTCTTTGGAGAGGCAGGACAATTACAAGTTTGAGACCAGCCTGGGCAATTTAGTGAGACTCTTGTCTCAAAATTAAATAAAAAGGACTAGGAATGTAGCTCAGTTGTAGAGCAGTTGGTTAGCATGTGCAAGGCCCTGGGTCAAAAAAAAAAGAAGATGATGTAAATAATCTCTTAAATTCTCCTGGAAGTGTTAATTTGTTCAGTAAATGAGAAAATCAACTTACATTGTTGTGAATTAATGTAAATGTTAAATTTCCTGAGAATGCTACATCCATAGCCCTTTATTTTCTGAGACAAAAGTCTCATTACATTGTCCAGCCTAGTCTTATGATTATAAAAGCACATAATTATTTCCTGTTTTATAAAAGCACATAATTATTTCCTGTTTATTCTTTTGATAAATCGTGATGATTGTGACATTATTTATACTGCTAAGTAGAACGTATGCAGCAAAATAGAAAGTAAGATGTAGTGACAGAGTTCCAAGTCTCAATCCTCTCTCTGCCCTTTAGAGAATGATAAAGGATTTGGTAAAACTTGGAAGACTTACAGTTCTCCTAGCTTTTGTACTAATCATTTGACTTCCTGATTGTGTGATTTTTATCTATAAAGCAGAAAGTTGAAATAGATGTTTTTCAAGTGTCATAAAGTGCTAACATCTAGGGTCCATTTTAAAAAAAATCTGTTTATATTGTTTTAATCCATGTCAAATGTAATTTAAAGGAAAAGGACAAGTAAGTACCTTTGTATAGAATGTACAGTCATAGCATCACACCACAGGGCCCACAGGATGGACGGGGAGACAACTTTTCCCTTGGAACAGCATCTCTATTCCCAGGAATGGTTCTCAGCAGAAGGCTGGGCAGCCAGGAGCACCTTCAGTCAGTCCCAACCTCATCTTCTGCTTCAGCTCTGGACCTACTTCCTGCCCTACTCTCAACTTGTTATGAAGAACCTCATGAGCTAAGACTAAAGAGGGTCATGTCTCTCAGGGCATGTACCTGATATCTGGGAGGAAAAATGTACACCACTGAACACCAAGCACACGAGAGAGGGAAGGGATGACTGGAGTGGGAGAGGCTGATAGGTACCCTAAGAGGGGATGGGCCAAGCCCTCAGCCAGCCCTGAGGGAGGCACTGCTTCCAGAGAGAGGTTTTTAAAAAAAAGAAAAAAGAAAATCATACAACTAAAGCTAGGGGTGTGGAGGGCAAAGGAGTTGTCCTATTTATAACAACATTGTAAATATACATGGTCTATATTACATGTACTTCAGTCTGGTGTTTGTATGTCTGTCCCTCTGGGAGCTGAAATTTCAAGAGCCTTGCCTCTCTACTCCCCACCCCATCTCCCTACCCCACCCTGGGAACAGAGGCCCAATGGGTATGGTCTCCAGGCTTGGTGGGAGCTAGCAGGCAGGGCCTGGGCCTCAGCCTCCACTCTGGCTCCAGAGTCTTGTGTGTGTATATCTGTGTGCATGCATGTGAATGTATGTACATAGGGATCCTGTGTGCATTATGTACAAGGGGAGAGGGTCACTGTCACAGAGGATGGGAGCAGGTGAGGCTGCTTGGGGCGAGGCCCGCCTGGGTGGCTAGCTCACAAGTAGATCCTCTGAAGGTCTCTAGGTACTGTGATGGTGTTGCACTGAGGGCAGAGCTTCTTGGAACATAGAGTCCACAGCCAGCGTTCCTGTACTGTACAGGCCAACACTGGATTGACATTAGGGGCAATGAGTATGAATCAATGCAGATGAGGCATTTGTATCGCTCAGAGCCTTCAGGGCCTCAAACATGGTCACAGCTGAATCAGAGATTTTCTCCATGTCCCTGTTCTTGCTTATCTTCTGCATGACCTCCTGCTTGCTACTTTTTATCTTTGCTGGTGAATGGCATGTCATCACTGGCCCATTTAGAGAACTCAGGTGTGGCACAGGTCCTGGGAGGGCCACCATTTAGGACTGCTTCCCTGGAATGCTTCTTTCTCCTTGGCTTCACCAGGCTTCGAGCTGACATAAGAGATGACAACTTCTGTCTCCGTGTATTGTGGCTTCCCATACTGTCATCCCCATCCACATCCAAGTCAGATCACTGTCCTGGTTCTCGCGGCTGTACATGAGAAAGCCAGAGCCTTGGTAGCCACCTTCTGGGAGAGCAGTGACCCATATCCGTCTGCCCACAGCACTCATACTTTTCAAAGCGGTTGCTGTTTTCTTGTTCTATGTTCACAGCATCATCCTCAGCCATGCAGGAACCTTCCTTCTGGGCCTCATTTTGCTTTTTCCATTTCATTTCCCCAATCTACACATTTAGTCAGGTGTGCTGGTTGGCTCCCAATCTACACATTTAGTCAGGTGTGCTGGTTGTACTTCCTCCCTCCGGTCCCCTGCTTCCCCGGCTCCCCCAGTCCATTGGCATAGCCATCGGAGGCTGTTCTAATGGGACCCTATGGCTGCCCCAGCCCCGGCCTCCATTGCTCTGGGCCCCAGGTGGTGACAATGCTGGCGGATTCTAGGGTCCATATTTTATAGCATATCTTTTAGATTTGTCATTTGTCGTTATGTGAAATTAGGAGTTAAAATTGGATGTATAAAGGAGAACATTTTTAAAAGGGTTTTGGAAAATGGCTATTTAAAAAAAATGCTTGAAGTTTATAAACACTGTCAGTATGTTAACTTTTGAAGAAAATGTTGCTATTTAAACATTGATTTCTAGGTCACCACCAGCAGTATTGATGTCTCTTCTCAGTACTCAAGAAGACTTGCTGGAAAACGTTCTAGGGTGTGTTCCTGTTGGGCAAATAGTTACTATTAAGCCACTAAGTGAAGACTTCTGTTATGTTCTGGGGTACCTCCTCACTTGGAAATTAATACTAACTTTCTTCAAAGCTGCTTCATCTCAGGTAAATAAATGTATGGCAACTTTTTATTTTCCTTCATGCTGGTGATCAAATCCAGATGACAACTTTTCTAAACACCATCCTTTTTAGAACAAAAGGGTCATGCCTTACATTTTAATCTAATTTTATCTGACCAAGTTTAGATAACTCTGCTATTACTTACTTTTCTTACTACTTCCTTACTCTTCCAGATATAATTTTTTTTTTTGGCAAAATAATTAAGCTCTGAAATGCAACTTCATCAGTTTTTATTCTAACTGAATATAGTAGTCACACACCTATTTATTATAAGGAACAATATTTCATATAGTTTTTAATTTTGTACTGTCATAGTAATTTCAAAAGAACCGGCATGGAATCTTGTTTTTTTTTTTGGTGGTGGTGGGGGATACCGGGGATTGAACTAGGGGCACTCCACCATTGAGCCACATCCCCAGCCCTATTTTGTATTTTATTTAAAGACAGGGCTCATTGAGTTGCTCGCTATTGCTGAGGCTGGCTTTGAACTCTTGATCCTCCTGTCTCAGCCTCCCGAGCCTCTGGGATTACAGCATGCACCACCATGCTGGCAGGAATCTTGCTTTTTAAAAGTGGTTATATAAATGGAAATTTACCTATTAGAAAAATCAGTATTCAGGGAAAGATCTATGAGACATTACCTGTGTAATTCAAAGTGTAATCTAAATGGAGAAAATATTCTATTGTAATTATTATGCCCAGAGTATTCCAGTAGCCACTAGATGTCTCTGTTGTCTCACGTTTGAGAAGAAAGCTCTCATTATCCAGGAAGAAATTGGGAAGATCTACTCTAGTTTTTCTTTCTTTCTTTTTTTTTTTTTTTTAAATATTTATTTCTTAGTTTTAGGTGAACACAATACCTTTATTTTTTTATGTGGTGCTGAAGATTGAACCCAGTGTCTCACGCATGCCAGATGAGCGCTCTACCTCTATGCTCAGCCCAAGCTTCTTTTTCTTTTAGAAAAAAATTTCAAATCTCAATTGAATCAGCCTAATAAAATAAGTGCCACCTTTGACAGGTCAATACAAAAAGCTTAGTTTATTACTTCATATTTAAAATGTGATTAAATATTGTGGTATTCCTTTCCACTGTGATTTTTTCAGAATTATTAAAGTTATTGTTTGTGTTGTTGCTCACATCCATATTGTGGCAGAAATACATCAGTTTATATGTCTTTACATTTGTATATGTAAGGAGAAGATCAAATCAACGTTGATCTAGTTGTTTCATAGATTAGTTTTATTTGTCTTCAGGCCTGTCACAGTTTGTGACTTATACTGGTTTTATTTGCTTATGTTTTTCAAGAAGTCCTTGTTAAGCTTTTACATTTGTTTCTTAAAATATTGTTGATCTTTTAAAGATTGCAGCAGATTGAACCTCTGATATAGAAGAATTTTTTTTTATTATCTTATATTCAAAAATCAGGAAAATGGCCATCTAGCATGTTTTTATTGTCAGGATGTGGGCAGGAGTGCAGATAATTATATAGCAACATTTATTATTGAGCCTGAAACCTGAACTGAGCTGTGAAGATAATGTCAGAATAACCCAGTAAATAAAGCAAATTAGATAAATCCTGAAATTATGGGTTGTCTTAACGTTCTTAAAAAAAACAACAACAAAAACTTCTAGCAAATCAGATTGAACTGGAAACAAAACTCTGTGTTTTTTAAATTTATTGAAATATATTTCACATCCTATAAAGTGTATGCATTTCAAGTGTACAGTTTGGCTGTTTTAGTATATTTTTAAAGTTGTACAACCAACCACTAATTTTATAATATTTTTAAGATCCCCAAACAAACTCATATCTTAATATGAAAATGTTCTGGGGTGTGTTCCTGTTGGGCAAATAGTTACTATTAAGCCACTAAGCGAAGACTTCTGTTATGTTCTGGGGTACCTCCTCACTTGGAAATTAATACTAACTTTCTTCACTTCCCATTCCCTCTTAAATCCCATGGTTCTCAGCAACCATTAATTATGTTCTGTCTCTATGGATTTGCCTATTCTGGATATTTTATGATAACTTGATAAATTGTATCTCCCTTATTTCACTTAGCACAATAGTTTTTAGACTTACTCAATTTTGTAGTAAACAATTCCATCTCTGAAAGATCTTCCATTGTCAGGATAATACCACATATTGTGCATCCATGGGTGGACATTTGTTTATACTTTTGGCTGCTGTGAACATTTCTATACAAGTTTTTGAGCATGGGGTGTCCGGGTCATGTTCATAGTCTAGGTTTTTTGTTTGTTTCTTTTTATTAATTTTTAAAAACCCACTGATCTAATTTTAAAAAATTTTCTTTCTCCAATTTTTTAAAAAGATATTTATTTTTTTAGTTTTCAGCGGATACAACATCTTTGTTTGTATGTGGTGCTGAGGAACGAACCCGGGCCGCACGCATGCCAGGCGAATGCGCTATCGCTTGAGCCACATTCCCAGCCCCAGTTTTTTGTTTTGAAAAAAAAAAAAAAATTATACTTACAGAGAAATTGGAAAATAATTTGAATGAAAAAATCACACACCCTTCTAGATCCACAAGTTTTTTTTAACATGTTGCTAAATTTGCTTATGTTTTCTCTATATTTACTTAGTCTTTTTATTGACACATTGTAACTATACATATTAGTAAGATTAATTATTATATATTCATACATGCACACAACATAATTTAGTTCTATATTTTTTTTCTGCTGATCCTCCTTTGAGATTTAAGTTGCAGATGTCAGGATGCTTTGCCAAAAGTATTTAAGTATATAATTACCTAAGAATAAGGGCATGATATAAGTAAACATAAACATTCTATAAGAGCAAAATGTAATCATTATATTTAAGAAATATAATTTTGGTACATGAATATAGTCTAATTTATATTCAGATTTCTATAGTTGCCTCATATTATCCTTAGTTTTATTTCCTTCTCTATTGGGGATTCAGTCAAGGATCATGTTTGCATTTGTTTGCTTTATTTCTTTAGTTTCTTTAACCTATAATTCCCATACTTTTCATGTTTTTCTTGTTGTTTTGGATAGCTGTTTGTAGCCTATCATGTAATTTTTGATTTTTGGATGTTTCTGATTGTTTCTGTTTTTTCAGATGTTTGGATATTTCTGGTAGATTCTGGTTAATAACTTAGCAATAGTACTTACTGCCCAAGTTGTGTGATGTATCCTCAGGGTGTTAGTTCAGGAGGCATATATCAGTGATTTTATTGGTGATGTTAAATTTTGATTGCTCAATAAAGGTAGTATCCACAGATTTCTCTATTGTAAAGGTACTTTGATCAACATGTTTTCAGAATCAGCCCCAAATCCTATAGCTTGATCATTGTATTTAAGTAGTCATAACATTCACAAAATGATGTTTTTGTACTAAGAGATAGATATATGGTATAGTAGGAGAATTAATGTTAAAACAAATGAAAATACCAAAGAACTACAAAGTAAATGTGACACAAGTATCACACAGATACCTTTGGTGCTTCCAGTGGTACCAGATTTTCCTGTTTTTAAAAGAGAAACCAGAAATCCAAATTTGTATATGAAATTTCCTAATTGATAAACAAGTGAGGAGACCCCAAGACATAATGAACTACTAACTAGTTTGTGCTTTCTATACTAAAAGGATGATGTAGTTTTGATAATAGGTTATTCTTGAAAATGGGATGAGTTCTGTTTTACTCAGGAATTTACAAGATTAAGGACTATGGTGTGGAAGGAATGTGGGGAAGACTTGGGAGGACAGTGAGCAAGTCAAAGTCATCTGTGGAAAATGGTGAAAAGATTTTCTTGGCTAAGTGACGCCAAGCCATCCATACTGAGCATATTAATGGACACAATTTGAGAAAAAGTTAGAAGCATATGTATAATAATGAGGGAGGAGGGGTTAATGAGAAGTTCTGCCAGTCTGAAGAAAGGAGGCAGGGTCACATCATATGATACATTTGGAAAGTGAGAATATGGCATATATTTTGTATGACTCTTGCATGTAGTTGAGTGTTCAAATTAATGCATTTTTTAAATTGTGTTTTTACAATTTGTTACAGTTTGTTTTGTTCTGCTGATGGTCTTGCTTTAATTGGATTTGCTAATAAATTCTTTGCCTTTCTATCAGCTTCGGGCTCTGTATTCAATGTACCTTCGGAAAACAAAGAGTTTGAATAAATTACTCTATCACCTCTTCAGGCTTATGCCAGAAAATCCAACCTATGGAGAGGCAGCTATTGAGGTTTCAAATAAGGACCCTAAAACTTTCTTTACTGAGGAGCTCCAGCTGAGTATTAGAGGTCAGTAAGATACAGATTTGTGTCCTTTCCTAGAGACTAGGCTCAGACTAGGTTGTAATAAACTTTACCCTGGGGCATAATGACAAAAGTGAGTCCTAGCTAAAGAATGTTAAAATGCAAGATTTTCTGAACTTCTTTAAGTAGTACAAATAAATCTTGTGGATAAGGTTGTAGAGAATTTAATAATTTTAAAGTGTAGAGGTTTTTATCTTTTACTCTATAAGCAAGTATTAGTTATATGGTAATATTTTGTAGCCATGTTAATAATAAGTAGTCTTCAGTTAGGAAAACAAGATGAGTAAAATTTGTTTCCTTCATTCTAGTAGCTAAAGTATTAGCCAAAATGGTAGACATAAAGTCATTTAGCTATACTACAGCATTATAAATACTTTACTAAGAATAAAAAGTTTTTAAATGTCTTAAGAGAGCTGAACTGTGTCTTGTGAATATTAAAGTGATTATTCTAGGACTTTTGCACAGCAGCTCAGTGAGCTCTGGAGAAAGAAGAGGAGGCCAAACTCCCTTTCATAATTTATGACAAAGAATATGTGGGCTCCATTTTATTTGTGGTCTCTTATGTGAAATACCGAGTAATATTTCTAGGCAGATTTTAATTGTCAGGTGGGATTTTTTACTCTTACTTCCTTTGTCATTCTTTTGTAGTTTTTTTTTTTAGTTGTAGTTGGACACAATATCTTTATTTTATTTATTTATTTTTATGTGGTGCTGAGGATCAAACCCAGGGCCTTGCACCTGCTAGGCAAGCACTCTACCGCTGAGCCACAATTTCATCCCCTCCTTTGTCATTTTTTTTTTCTGTTTTACAGAAGATTTTTTAATATTTGTTTTAATTGTACATGATAGTCGAATGTATTTTGACATATGTACATACCATATTCTCTATATGTATGGAGAATAACTTCTCATTCTTCTGTTTGTATGTGATATAGAATTATAATGGTCATGTAATCATATATGCACATAGGATAGTAGTGTCTGATTCGATTCTTGCAGTTCATTTTGAATGTGTGGCAGGATGCTAATACTCTAGGGTTCTGGTTTCTCTGGTGTGTTTGTTTTATGAGCTAGACACTCTTGTTGATTAAGGATGACTTTTTAAGGAAATTACTAATACAAGGCTGTTGTTATTTGTAAGTGCATATAACTAACTAAGAATTTTATTTTTTCTTCAGAAACTACAACTCTTCCATACCATATTCCACACTTGGCTTGTTCAGTCTATCATATGACTTTAAAAGATTTGCCTGCCATGGTTAGGCTGTGGTGGAATAGCAGTGAGAAGCGTGTTTTTAATATTGTAGATAGATTTACAAGCAAGTATGTCAGCAATGTTCTTTCTTTTCAAGAAATATCTTCTGTGCAAACAAGTACACAGCTATTTAATGGCATGACGGTTAGTATTGTCTTTTTCCAGAAAAGTTTACGAATTGGTTATATCTGTCATTATAAATATCACAGAGTTGATTCAGAATTTACAGAAATCTGTCTACCTTATTTTCTGATTGTTGTGTTTTGAGAAAGATATGGTAGATATAAAAGTAATATTTAATACTTAGGGCATCTTTTGTCTATTAAAATGATATATGACAAACCTAATAATAATATGCAGTTTTATGAATAGCATATTTTCTTTTAACACAAACTGTGTCAGAAAATCACTGTGAAACATGCTAAGTATACTTACTTATTAAATGGCTTGTGTCAGATAAATGAATGTTTACCTGTTTTTTCCTTGTGAAGACATTAGCTGCTAAGTCAACCTAACAAAATGTGTTTTGAATGGAAGAAAGGAATTTGGCAAAAATATTACCTTTTGTGTTTTAGGTTAAAGCTCGAGCTACTACTCGAGAAGTAATGGCTACTTACACTATTGAGGACATAGTCATTGAACTTATAATACAACTGCCTTCAAATTATCCATTGGGTTCAATAACAGTGGAAAGTGGGAAACGAGTTGGAGTGGCTGTTCAGCAGTGGCGGAACTGGATGCTGCAGCTCAGCACTTATCTCACCCATCAGGTAAGGTTTTGCTCATACACTTGGATTCCCAAACTAGAGAGAGAGAGATTATGTCTTTGAAAGGTAGTTAAACACAAACTGTTGTTTCTTCTGCTTAAGATATGTGCTTAAATATGCCATCTCTGCTTTAGTTCTTAAGGCTTTATAATTTATTTTCTGGTGTATGAGAGGGATTGATTTTATTTCATTGGCAGTATAGAAGATGTAGAATAATATATGGTATTAAGGAAATGGAAATTGAGACTTTTTTGAAGGATAATGGACTAGTGAATGCTTTCTTTCTGGGCTACTTTTTTTTTTGATATCAGGGTTTGAACTCAGGGGTGCTGGACCACTGAGCCATATCCCCAGCCCTATTTTGTATTTTATTTAGAGATAGGGTCTCACTGAGTTGCTTAGCGACTCACCATTGGTGAGGCTGGCTTTGAACTCGTGATCCTCCTGCCTCAGCCTCCGAGCTGCTGGGAGTATAGGCATATACCACCGCGCCTGGCTCTGGGCTACTTTTATGTTTCAACTCTTCTTTGGTTAGAGAAATCCCACTTTGAAAGACCTTTGAACTATAAACACATTGTAAGTCTCCTCTAGTTTTCTTTGAACATTGTGATATATCTCAGACATTCTGCATTAAAGAAAAATTAAAACATTTTCACCAATATTGTGAAGCTGGAATAAATCATTTGAGAAGGTAAAGTAATCTGATCATTTTTGTTAATAGTTGAGAGATCTTTAGGTCATTTATGATTTAATTATTAAGAATTTCGTCAAAAAAAATCAAAATCATAGTTCAGAAGCCCTTGAAGTTTAACTTTAATGGAGAAAAATTACATCTGTTCCTAAAAACTTTGGAGATTATTAAAACAAAACAAAACAAAAAAGCCAGCACTTATAAAACTTAGAAGATGTGAATGTAGTCAGGCAGATTGTCTTCTTCCAGAAATATAATTCAACTTTGAAATTTGTGAAATTGAGAGTAAAAATAACATAGTCTTTAGTATATACTGATTATTTTTCTCTTTGTTAACAGAATGGAAGTATTATGGAAGGCTTAGCATTATGGAAAAATAACGTAGATAAACGTTTTGAGGGTGTTGAAGATTGCATGATCTGTTTCTCAGTCATTCATGGTTTCAACTATTCTCTTCCCAAAAAAGCCTGTAGAACATGCAAGAAAAAGTTCCATTCAGCCTGTTTGGTAAGTCTGAGGCAAAATTAACTTTCGTATGTTTGTGTAGTCTCGATGCTTAACTTTGGGAAAGAACACAATTAGTAATTATTATAGAGACTTATAGCATCTAAGTACTTTAATAAAAGGATATTTTTTTCTTTTTTTATAATATAATTATACATAACATGGGAATTATTATGCCATATTTATACAAGCATATAACATAATTTAATCAGCCTAACTCCCCAATACCTTTTCTTTTTTCTTCCCCCTAATTAGCTTGATGTACTCTACTGATCTCTCTCTTATATTATTATTTTGATTAGTGCATTATGATATATATATAAGTGAGATTCATTGTGGTATATTCATACATGATCATAGCACAGTTTGGTAGATTTCATCTCCACTACTTCCGGTGCCCTTCTCTCCTTCTCCTTCTGAATCCCCTTCCTCTACTCTATTGGTCTTTCTTCTATAGTAGATATTTCTAATGGAGCTCTTAGCACTCAAGAAATGGATAACCAAGTGAGATCTAGACATGAGAAAAGATACAGGAGTTGAGCTGGGGCCCTCTGGCATCAGAGCCCTTTACACTTTTAAACATCATGTCAAAAAGGCAATTCCCTATGTTAACTTGCTTCACTGGTCTTTCTTATGTTTTTATGGTTTTGAGCATGAGCCTAGAAAGAAAGAATCTAGGGTAGCCTTTGGAAGTTATATACAATTGGAAGTAATGTTCACTTGTGCTGATTTGTGTTTAGACGTGGGGAGAGAAAAATTTTAATATTATCCCTTAATATTATCTTATCAATTTGAAGGTTACTTTGATGTATTTTTATGAGATGATAGCTTTAAAAAATTCTCCTAACATTTAAAACCTTTTCTTTTTCAGTACAAATGGTTTACATCTAGCAACAAGTCCACCTGTCCACTCTGTCGTGAGACCTTTTTCTGAGATTTTTTTCCATTGGAAGTGATCCCTGAAGTAAATTAAGCAAAGGCATTGGATTTGGATCCAACTTAAGGTGTTGATGTGAGAAAGCCAGTCAGCATTACTTTTAAATAGGACCTTCTCTGGAAAATTATTTTGGTTAATGTGATAATCTTAAAATCAGGTTTACCTATCTTTAGATTGCTTTGTAAATGTTTGGAAACTTTTTCTTTTACAAAAGAATATTACATATTTGAGAGAAAATATTTATATTAATGGTTTAATCTCTTTGTATATTTAAAAATGAATACAAAAGCCCTAAATTATAGAATTAAAATTTGTGAAAACATTGTACAACTATATTATAACTTATAAACCCATTCGGTTTGTTGGTCTGTGTTCTAGAATAGTCCAAGAGTCAGCCAAAATGAATTGAGAGAGTTGATTTAAGACTTATTTATTAGTTATGACAGCAAATTTAGTAGTGTTTTGATTTTTTAGATTATTTTAATGATAAAAATTAACTGTAAGCTATTAATATGGCTTATCTTAAGCTATTTGAAGCATGCTATGAAATCCTATATAAAAGAATGTAAACTGAACTTTAAGGTGCCTCCGTTTATCAAGGGTTACGAAATTCAGAAAATTAAATTCATGACACTGACCTTTTGCTTGTGGAAGAATTATTTCCATGTATTAAGTGAAATTTGAATAGTAAATTTGTCAGTGAATTTATTACTCATTTTGAGTGTATCTTCAGAGAGTGGGAATTAGAGAGAAAAGGTAATTTGATTATTTCATTTGTGAAGCAAAATGGAAGTTATCCCTCTATTGAGAGGGAAGAAATACATATAATTGGAACTTTAAGATTGATGGAAAAACCAACATTTAAAAATGTTTTAGGAGGCTTTCAATTTTGTAAGCAAATTTTGCTATTCTAACTAGCCAAAGTTACACTAAATAAGGGATTTAGGGAAGCTAATTTTTTTTTTCAGCATCCAGAAATGAAAATTACGGATTTTAGTACTAAATAAAATTAAGTATAATAGGCTGAAGTATATGTGTAGGTAAAAACCTGCCTTTTGCCACAGCACTATTACTCTTAAAAATTGTGCCCAAAGTATAAAAGTGTGGAAGTTTGGAACTTAGAATAATTTTATTACAGTCTTCCATTTCATGGAAAATAGCATATCTAATAGTTAGGCTATTTAAGAGATCAGCTAATCATTTGTGTTGCAAATGTTTAATTGGCAAAAGCAACTCATGTTAAATAAAATTATTGCTTACCATCAACTGGGTAAAATGACTATTATTGAAATAGTATGAATGTGGTCAGAGGATTATAGTTGAGTGAAATATAATGTGTGAGTTGCACATCTCTTGAGCTGTATTTGTAGGTGTAGTGTCCTACACAGTTTTGTTCTTGAAAGTTTTCTTTGTAATATCTTATTTTCTAGCCTTGAGACTCGGAGTCAGTAAATGCAGTACAGATAGCAAAAATTCTACTACCTCTTCTTGACCCCTCTTTTAAAATATTCTCTATGTCTGTCTTTGACATAGTAATCCCAAAGGATTGTGTTACTCTCCTGTGAAAGTTACACACGTTTCCTTTAAAAATGGTTTTATAATAAAACTTTGTTTATAACCTCTCCAGTATTGGTATTTCTTGGCTTCTCACTCAACCCCATGTAGGGGGGAAAAAGAAGGAACAATAGAGCATTGTTTTTCTACAGAAGTATTAAAGCAACAGATTTTTGTTGAAACAGTGTAATTAAGTAGTTCTAATTAAATAACTACTCTTCATACTTAGGACTCTTAATATATGTCCTTAAGACCTGTAAGTATAATTGTAAAGCTTGTTACTGTTTATATTTAGAAAAAACTTTCCAAAATAATACTGAAATTTAGAATATTAAATTAATTTTATTTATAATAGTTTTAACAATTATAAAAAAGGATAGTAGCCTTTAAAATATTAGCATAAGGACATAATAAAATTGCATGAGATTCAGACCTCATTACAAAATTATTAATTTAAAACCCCCATTGCAGATTTTAAAATTTATTTTTGATTATTATTTATCTCATGCTCTAATGTATGTGCATATGTTTTGTGGTTTACATAATGTTATTGATACATTTTTGTGGTGTGAATAATGTTACTTGATTGATATACCATATGTGCCCATTAAAATTCTTTTTAATTACAAAATATTTCAAATATACAAAAAAAATTAATATAAATGCCCTTGTACTCTTCACCTTCTATTTTGCCATATTTGCCTCTGATTTTTAAAGAAATAAAATGTTACTCTTTTGTACTGCTCCCGGCGCCATTTTCCTCCTTCCCCCCCGCAGAGCTAGCCTCCTATTCTGAAGTTGGTATGACTCCTTTCTATTTAAGATTTTATACTTTATCATGTATTTGAATCCATAAATAATATGTAGTGGTTTTTTAAAAAAATTAGTCATAATATCCTACTATAGGTAATCTTTTGTAACTTGCTTTTTTACCTACTATAATTGCTGTTTAGTATTTATTTACCAGTCTTTCCACTGATGGTCATTTCAGTTATTTTTTGCCATTTTGAACAGTGCTGCAAGTGTACATTCTTTGTCATTCTTCCTTATTTAAATGATATATGCCTCAAGGTGGAATTCCAGGTAGTAGGATATGTGTACTCTGACTTTAGATCATTGCTCTCCAAAGTGGTGTGTTAGTTTGCACTCCCAGCAGCCACGTGAGAGGATTCTGTTTTTTTTCCTACCTTGTCACCAACACTTAGTCTTAATCAGAATTTTTAAGTTTTCTAGTTGGAGGGCTATGAGATAAGTAGCTCTTTAATTTATATTTTCCTATCTGCCAAGAAACTGTTTCTTTTATATTTATTGTTCATTGTTTTATAAATTTGTTGTCCATAATCTATGCTTGTTTTTCTACTAGATTACTTGCAGTCTTCCTGATTACCTGTTATAGAACTTCTAGTATGTGGCTTGTCTTTAACATGGTCTTGTGAATCTTTGATTTTGCAGAAATTTTTCAGTTAGTTTAATCAAATTAATGATTCTTTTCCTTTATGAATGAACCTTTTTTTGGTGTTAGGTTTTAAAAATTTGTTCCTCCCCTGAGATTAAAAAAAGAAGAAAGAAAATTTGATTATATTTTGTCACAAAAGTTTTAAATTTCAAAATGTGCATAATTAACCAGCAATATATACATATGTATATTAAATGTATATGTATATATTGCTGGTTAATATGTGTGTGTGTGTGTATATATATATATATATATATATATATTTACTGTTGTTAGATAGAATTCTTACTCCATATTGATAGCAGTTCTTTATTTTATTTTGTTTTATTTATTTGAGGTACTGGGGCTTGAACCAAGTGCCTCATTCCTGCTAGGCAAGCACTCTGCCACTGAGCTATATCCCCGCCCTCCACATTGATAGATATTTCTGATAGCATCATTTAGTAAATATAAATAGTACACTCATTTCCCATTAACTTTATAGTGCCTCCTGTTTTATATTACTATATCCTTTTGTATGTATGAGTTGGTTTCTGGGCTTTATTTTGTCCCCTTGATCTATTTATCTATCTGTTACTAATTCTACATTTTTAAAAAAATAGCTTTATAATTAGTTATGAGAAGTTCTTCAGTCTTGTTCTTTTTCCCATGCTTCTTGACTTCTTTGGAGCTATCCAAAGAAGATAGCTCTGCTATGACTTCTGCTACCTGAAAATCTTGTCTCTTTCATTTGTTTAATATCACGATCAATCAGTTCTTACTAGAATAGGTCATCTTGGGGAAGAATTGGACAGTAAATGTCCAACTTAAGTTTTTCTGGTATACCTAGGTGGCTCTTCTGGCTTTGCCAGATACTCTACTCAGGGGTCCTGCAACCAGTTATTATTCATCTTTCTTTTTTTTTTTTAAATAAATGTTCTTTGCAAAAGGACTTGTTAGAATAGGGTATTTATTATGGGAGTCTTCTATTTTCTGCAGCTTTGATAATGTCTTTTCATTGTGGATTTCTCTTTTAAGAACAACAAAAATTTCTGTTAGCAGCACCAACACATCAGATAATTTTTATGTTTGTGTCCAGAGTTACTGAGGTACTTGAATAGATTACGAATCTAGATTGTCTCCAAATTCATCACTATTTCAGAAACAAATCTACATCAGTTGTTCTCAATATGACATACCCAATAGTGAACCATAGATTTGACCGCTTGAGCATATTTGGGTTCTGGCAAAGTACTAGCTTCTGAAAGAGTTTGGTTTAATTGTTATGTAACCAGTTGGCATTGTTTGTTTTCACTGTTTAAAACCCACTAACAAGCAATATCTGTGAGAATTTGGGAAGGAATTGTTCAAACTGACTTCTGAGCATGGATATTTGTCAAACTGTAGAACCATAATCATGGGTTTCTTCTTCATCACCTAAGGGTAAAAAAGTTTTTCCGATTTCAGAGGGTTATGCCAGTAGATGGGGAAACAAGAGAAATTGATAATATTATCCTTTTTATGGCATTATTATAATTATTTTTGCATATTAATTTTATACCCTGAAACCTCCTTTGTTAATTCTAGTATGTTCTTTTTTTCTTTTCTTTTTTTTTTTTAATGAATTCCTTGCTTTTTCTCCTTAAACAGAGCCTGTCACCTGCAAATAGAAATAGATTTTCATCTTTTAAAGTCTGGATGTCTTTTAATTCTTTGTTTTTCCTAAGTACCCTGGTAAGAGCAGATATCCTTATGTTTTTCCTGAACTTAGCTGTTGGGGATGGGGGGATATATTGGGGGGCTGCTTTTAATCAGTCACCACTGTGATGTTAGCTTTGAGTGATATAATCAGCTTTAAAGGTGAATTTAGTACAGGATCTGAAGATCCTTCAACTAATTAGGATGCAGTTTCTCTAATATAAGTGGTCAATTGTTGGGTCAAATGATAAGCATAACAGGTAATTAATAATTTTTCCTCAATACTGAGGATTGAACATAGGAGTGCTTTACCTCTGAGCTCTACCCCAGCCCTTTTTATTTTTTATTTTGAGACAAGTCTTGCTAAATTGCCAAAGTTGGCCTCTACTTTGGGATCCTCCTGCCCCAGCCTCTCAAGTAGTTAGTATTACAGGTGTGTGCCTGCCACTATGCCCAGTAAGTCAATGAATTTTTTTTTTTTTGAGGCAATGGAGTTTTGATATGTGCCATGTTATTGAGAAATGGTTATTCTCACTCTAACACTTTTGACATTTTCAGCTGTATAATTCTTTGTTTGGGGATCTGTCCTGTGTTTTGTAGTATGTTTAGCAGTATCCTGGTTCTGTCCTCTAGATCGCCATGTACCACCCCCCTTGTGACAACAGAAAGTGTCCAGACATTGCCAAGTATCCCTTGGATGGCAGAATTGCCTCTGGTAGAGAACAATTGCCTTAGAACACAGATTAATTATCATTCAATAGAAATATAATGTGAGCCACATGTTATTTTAAATTTTACTAGTAGGCATATTAAATATGTAAGACAAAATAGATGAAATTATTTTTAACACATTGTGTTTAATTCAGTATATCCAAAATATTATTTTAAAATGTAATCTGTATAAAAATCAACTACATATTTTACATTTTTTCATATTAAGTTTTTGGAGTCCAGTGTATATTTTGAATTTATAGCACATTTCAATTTGGATATGAAGTTTTCATTACAGATACTTGATCTGTATTTAGATTTCAGAAAATTTACAACTGAAAAGTGAATTCACATACCCAAGTTCCAAACATACTTAAAATTTCTAATAACTATATCAAGCAATGACCATTTTAAAATTTAAATTAATTTAGTTCCTCAGTTACACTTCCACATTTTAAGTCTCAGTAGGCACATGTAGCTAGTGGCTATTGTGTTTTTTTTTTTGTAGGTGGGATTGAATCCAGGGGCTTTTTACCACTAAGCCAAGTTCCTAATCCCCCCACTCCCTTGTTTTTGGACTGGTTCTTGCTAAGTTGCTGAGGTTGGTCTTTAACTTGCAATCCTCCTGCCTCAGCCTCCCAAGTTGCTGGATTACAGGTGTGCACCACCATGCCCAGCAAAGTTGCTATATTGGATAGTATATACCTAATCTTACATGTATATATAAAAAGAAAGGTTTATGATAATTTAGAGTCAGTCTGAACTCTTAAGCTCAGCTCCTGATACTTTACCTGTGATTACAGTCTTGTTCATTAGAGTTCTGTGATGTAGCTCATTTGTTGTTTTTTAAATCATACATAGTATAGGTATATGTCCAGATTAGCTATACTTTAATTCTATGCAGAATTTTCTAGAACTTAAAAAATAACTCTGTAATTAATTTTACCTGAAGTTCCATTTGTTAAGTCAATCCCTAATTATTAGCAATGGCTATGCCATGGAAAAAAAGTACTATATCTTGATAATGTTCCCAAAATTATGTAATAAGTTCTTAGAAATTTCCACTTATTTCGTAGCTTTAGTACTCTGAGGGATTTGATGTTCTATGTTAGGAGAATTAGGTAACATGATATATCTGTATTTCACTGTCCAATATTTGTAGACCATTCTCTGAAGGAGTTTAGAAGAATATTAGGGGATTGTGAAGTACTGATGTCTCCTGGA